ATACTGAGAAGTGCAGGCCTTGTGATAGGTTCAAATAAAACCCCATATCAATTTTAATGGTTTCTCTTTCTCCAAAAAAATATTTTATTTGAATTCTGTCATGCAGATCCTTTGGTTTAAATAATTTCTCTGGAACTCTACCACCAGAACTTGGTAGTCTCATCAAACTTGAACAATTGTGAGTTATAACTTTCTTCTAGTTCTTTTTAGCTCATTAAGTTTGTGCCAGTAAGAAGCATATTATATTACCAGAGTCTAAACGGTTTTGGTTTATGAATGTACAGTTACATTAACAGCTGTGGAGTTGGTGGTGAAATTCCCTCAACATTTGCTAAACTTCTAAACATGCAAGCCATGTAAGAAAGTCCCTTGGAGCATCTCAAAATTGTCTTCTCTTACCCTGTCATTAATGGAGAGCGTTTTGGATTTTAGGTGGGCATCAGACAGTCCTTTCACAGGCAAGATACCTGATTTCATTGGCAACTGGACAAATCTTACATCATTGTAAGTTACAAATACTTCTTATTCAATTTTAAAGACATTCTTTTTTAATTAGGCTTGCCTTATTTCTTCAACAATGAGATATATCTAGTTTGTTCTTTCTTGATTAGCCTGCAAAATATTTCTGTAGGAGATTTGAAGGGAACTCATTTGAAGGTCCTATACCATCAAGTTTTTCTAAATTAACCTCTCTAAATTCTCTGTAAGTAATTATTCACTTACCATTCACTCTCTCTCTCTGCATGCATGATTCTGAAAGTATTTATAGTGGCTAGCTTCTTCAATTCTTATACATAATCATGCAGGCGGATCAATGGTTTATCCAATGTGAGCTCTTCTCTTGATTTCATTGGAAAATTAAAGAATTTAACTGATTTGTAAGTTAAAACTCTTTAATCATGTGCAGAAACCTGTATCTTCTTTTGTATTTGTTGTTTTTAGTTAACTGACTAACAAACTTTACTCTTTTCTTTTGTTCTTTATTTTCCTGTAGAATTTTAAGAAAT